GGTTCACACTGGTTTTGAACAGTTCTGAGCCAGTTCTAACTGATTAAAACTGGTTTTAAGCAGGTGAAGGGCTGGTCTAAACTAGTTTAAACTGATTTTGAACAGATGTGAGTTGGTCCAAACTGGTCTAACCTAGTTTTGAACAGGTCTAAGTCTTTCCTAACTGTAATTTGGTTAAAAACAGGCATAAGTTGGTCTAATCTGGATAAAACTGAATCAGAACATGTCTGAGACAATATAAACTGGTTCAAACTGGTTGTGAACAGGTTGCTAGTCCAAATTGGTCTAGCTTGGTTTTAGTAAGAGCCGGTTTAAACTGGTTTGATCTGATAATTGGGGCTTCAACACACTGTGGACTTCTGCCGTGCCCAGGCCTATTCTGAGACCTCCTGAGAGGACCAGGCCCTCCCTGCTGTTCAAACCGTGGTCTCGTGGGTCTGGAAGATCTCAGAAGCTTCCTCCTTTGAGCAGCGCTCCTCATAGCACTCCCTCTCCAGGTCTCCTGGCAGGAGCTCCTCCAGGTTGAAGGAGTTGGCGCGGCGCCTCCTGGTGGAGGAGCGCAGCAGCTGCCCGGCTGCCGGTCGGTCGACGAACACTGAAGAGAAATCAAACTCTGAGTCCTGCTCTGTCTAATCATTAACAGTTATCGATGATTCTGACCCGTCTGGGTTCTGAATGATTGTAAGATCCACAGCTGGAACTGTTGGTGTCGCTGAGTAGATGAACATGAGATGAAGAGTCTCACCTGTACACTGGATCAGCGAGCAGCAGGTCAGCAGAGCGCTCAGAGTCAAGGCTGTGGACGACAACATGTCGTCTTCTGTCCTCCAGCGTCCGTCTGCAGGGAGGACGAGGGACAGAGGTCCAACTGATGGACTGATGGTTAACCACAGCTCAAATATTGACACACAGCAGCAGAGAACAACAACTGGTCTGAGGCCATCCTGGAGTTAGAAGGTCAAAGGTCACAGGACCCTCTGATGAAGAGCTCCTGCAGCTGAGGAGGAGCAGCGGTTGCCTCTCAGCAGGAAGGACGCCTGTTCGATCCCTAACACCATGTTGCTGTTTATCAGTGGAAAACAAATAACATCCTGCAAGACGATCTGCAGGGAAAACTGAGCCCATCGAAGCTGGTTACCAAACTAACAACTTTTTACTGAATAATTTTATAAATCAGAACTAAAATTCAAACTTCAGAAACAAACGTAATTTTTTTTTT